GTGGGAAAGGACATTTAACCAAAGATTGTTCCTTACCAGGCCAAGTGTGCTTTGTGTGTGGAAAACCAGGACATTTGGCTCGAGATTATCCTCCAAACAAGACATCAGTAGCTGGAGAACAAAGGATATGATTCCAAAAACCTGTAACTAGTGGAAGAGTCTTCACCTTGAGTGGTGCAGAAGCCTCTAAATCTGAAGATCTTATACAGAGTGAAGGGAAAATGGGAGGTAAGTCCTTAACTATACTATTTGATTCAGGTGCCACTCATTAATTTATTTCTAATGAATGTGTCAAGGATCTGAACTTAGTTGTGACACCTTTGCCTTATGATTTGCTTGTGTCTGTGCCTACCGCTGAGCCAACCCTTACTTCTAGAATATGTCTCAACTGTGTACTGACCATTCAAAATAAAGACTTTATTGTAAACCTTATTTTTTTGCCCTTACATAACTTAGATGTTATCTTAGGAATGGATTGGCTATCTCATAACCACATACTAATAGACTGTGCCTCTAAGACCTTAATTCTACCTGACCTTGATGTTTCTAGATTTAAACCTATCAAACCAAAAGAGATTTCATTTAAACATGAAATTCAAAAATACATGATATCCTTTATAGAAGGCAAGGAAAATAAGGTTTCCTTAGACTGTATAGTAGTAGTAAATGAGTATCCAGAAGTATTTCCGGATGATGTTCCCGGTCTACCTCCCAAAAGAGAAGTAGAATTTAGTATTGAATTAATTCCTGGAGCTAGACCTATTTCAATGCAACCTTATAGGATGTCACCCTTAGAACTTGCTGAACTTAAGAAACAATTAGAAGAGTTGTTGGAAAAATAGTTTATTTGACCTAGTGTATCACCATGGGGAGCTCCTGTTTTGTTAGTTAAAAAGAAAGACGGGAGTTCAAGATTATGTGTAGATTATAGACAATTGAATAAAGTCACAGTAAAGAATAAATATCCCTTACCTAGGATAGATGACTTAATGGACCAACTTAGGGGCGCTACTATATTTTCTAAAATAAATATGAGATCAGGGTACCATCAAATAAGGGTTAGAAAAGAAGATATCCTGAAAACTGCATTCAGAACTAGGTATGGACATTATGAATATCAAGATATGCCTTTCAGGGTAACTAATGCTCCTGCAATTTTTATGGATTACATGAATAGAGTGTTCAGATCTTACTTAGATAAATTTGTAGTAGTATTTATTGATGATATAATCAAAAGACAAAGAAGAACATAAAAATCATCTTAGAACGGTATTAAGAATTTTAAAGGATAAACAATTGTATGCAAAATTGTCCAAGTGTGAATTTTGGTTGGAAAAAGTAAAATTTCTAGGTCATGTAATTTCTAAAGAAGGCATAAGTGTTGATCCTTCAAAAGTGGAAGTTGTATTACAATGGGAACAACCTAAAAATGTGACTGAGGTTAGAAGCTTTTTAGGCTTGGCAGAATATTATCGAAGATTCATAGAAGGATTTTCAAAAATAGCTGGACCTTTGACACAACTAACAAGGAAAAATCAGCCTTTCATTTGGAGTGAGAGGTGTGAAAGTAGTTTCCAAGAGTTAAAACACAAATTGACAACTTCCCCAATATTGATATTGCCAGATCCTATAGAGCCATATGAAGTATATTGTGATGCATCATATCAAGGACTATGTTGTGTGTTAATGCAAAATAAGAGAGTGGTGGCATATGCCTCTAGAATATTAAAACCACACGAAATGAATTATCCTGCCCATGACTTGGAATTAGCAGCCATAGTGTTTGCTTTAAAAATTTGGAGACATTATTTATATGGATCTAAATTTGATGTATATAGTGATCATAAGAGTTTGAAATATTTATTTGATAAAAAAGTGTTGAATATGAGACAAAGAAGATGGATGGAATTTATAAAAGATTATGATTTCCAGTTATTTTATCATCCAAGAAAAGCGAATGTAGTAGCGAATGCCTTAAGTAGGAAAACTGTTCATGTTTCAACTATGATGATTAAAGAGATGGAATTGATAGAACAATTTAGAGATTTAAATTTATACACTATTAGCGAAAATGATAGAATACAATTAGGAATTATTTCTATTAATAATGAGTTCCTATATAAAATAAGAGACAAACAAGGAGATGATGAGTTTATATTGGAAAAGAGAAAATTAATAGGGACTGATAAAGCTGGAGATTTTAATTTAGGAATAGATGATATATTAAGATTTAAACATAGAGTATGTGTGACAGATAATAAAGAAATTAAGGACTTAATTTTAGAAGAAGGACATACAAGTAAATTAAGTATACATTCTGGAGTTACTAAAATGTATAAGGATTTGAAAGAAATGTTTTGGTGGCCTGGAATGAAGAAGGACGTAGCAAAATATGTTGCCCGTTGCTTAACATGTCAGAAAATTAAAATAGAACATAAAAAACCCTCTGGCATGTTACAACCATTAAAAATTCCAGTTTGGAAATGGGATAGTGTATCTATGGATTTTGTGGTGGGTTTACCCAAAACTTCTAGAAATTACAATTCTATTTGGGTGATTGTGGATAGGTTAACAAAAATTGCTCATTTCATTCCCATTAATATTAAGTACTCTTTAGATAAATTAGCATTATTGTATATGAAAGAAATTGTTAGACTACATGGTGTACCAACTAGTATAGTGTCAGATAGAGATCCCAGATTCGTATCTAGATTTTGGAAAGAATTCCAAAAAGCTTTAGGAAGTAAATTGCATCTCAGTTCAGCCTATCATCCTCAAACTGATGGGCAGACTGAAAGAACCATCCAGTCATTAGAAGATCTTTTAAGAGCTTGTGTATTAGAAGAAAAATCTAGTTGGGATGAAATTTTACCCTTAGTAGAATTTACATATAATAATAGTTATCACTCTAGTATAGGTATGGCCCCTTATGAAGCACTTTATGGGCGTAAGTGTAGGACACCTTTAGTTTGGTATCAGGATGGTGAAAATTTATTAATAGGACCAGATATAATCCAACAAACAACGAATAAGGTAAAAATAATTCAAGATAAGATGAGAACTGCTCAAAGTCGACAGAAAATTTATGCTGATAAGAGAAGGAAATGTTAGACAAATGACATCCATCTAGAGGGGGGTGAATAGATGTCAAATTAAAAATTTATTTGTGAGTCAATAATTTATTTGAACACAGATAAAACGGAAGCAATAATATAATCAGGAAACGAGAAAGAGATAAGGGAAAGAGAAGAGCACACAGAGATTTATACTAGTTCGGGTATAGGCAACCCTACATCCAGTTCCCAGTCAACTCTTTACACAAGAGTGACTCCCCATTCACTATCTTTCAAATTCAGTTTACAAATTACAATCAACTCAGCAGAAGAACTAGTAAAAAGTAAACTAATTAAAAAGACAATTACCTCCTTAGAAACCCACTAAGGATGAACATCTCCCTAGAATCCCACTAGGGATGAACACCTCCTCTGAACAAATCAAAGGATGAAAACACCTCCTTAGAATCCCACTAAGGATGAACACCTCCCTAGAATCACACTAGGGAAAAAACACCTCCTTTTCACCAATAAAAAAAGGATGAAGGTAATAAAAATAAGAACAGACACACCTGGGTAATGGAGACAACAAATTGTAGAAGCCTGTAGAATGCCAATCTCCAAGAACAAGTGTGATTAACAATGAAAGCACAGAAGGAAGTAGAGAAGAGGGTTTTCTCAAAAGGTGTAAAATATCTCTGTTGCCTTGCTCATAATTCTTTTCTCAAAACTGATTGAATGTAAATTGTATTTTCGAATTCTGTAATTGTGTGTTTTTGATTTTACATCAAAACTTAATTAAATAGAAAAATAGCATCAGAAAATGGCCGTTGAACATTAATATTTTTGTGAATAAAAATCAGGATATATTCAGAAATATTTATTCTTCAAAACAAATATATTTTTCAAATTTGAATTGCCATAATTGATTATGTTACCAATATAATCAATTATGACAGAGAAAATCATTTTTCCATTTCTGATGCATCATAATTGATTATGACAATGAAAAATATCATGTTATGAATTTTATCACACTTGTGCTTTGGAGACTTATGAATAATATTACTTCATCAACTTGTACCTGCATATCCAGTATTCTAAGACTCTATCTAGTCTTCAGGAATCATCTTGGGCTTGCTTGAATCATCATCTTTATCAAAAACATATCTTGGGCATGTAGGGAAATGTTTCACATTTTCACCAACGTCATAAATTCAGTTTGTCCTTAATTCATCTTGAATGGTGTTGACTTGAATGTAGTTGACTTGAATCATTATCAAAATCATCTCTTGGGAATGTAGGGACATTTCCATCAATCTCCCCCTCATTGCTTTTAAGAAACCTTTAGAATTTCAAGAAGGAGATCATGTATTTTTGAAAGTTACACCTATTACGGGAGTTGGCAGAGCTATAAAATCTAAGAAACTTTCCCCTAAATATATTGAGCCTTATAAAATTACAAAACGGGTTGGAAATGTTGCATACCAGATAACCTTATCACCTTTTCTCTCAAATCTTCATGATGTATTCCATGTGTCACAATTGAGAAAGTACATTTCAGATCCAACACATGTCCTAGAACCTGATCAAGTACAGGTAAAGGAAAACCTCACCTTTGAACCAAGTCCTTTTAAGATTGAACAAAGAAGGATTAAGCATCTAAGAGGAAAAGATATTACTTTGGTTAAGGTTATCTGGGATGATGTTAGAGGCGACGCTACATGGGAACTGGAAGAGAAAATGAGAATTGAATACCCTTATCTATTCACATGCAATATATTACAAATTTCGAGGACAAAATTTTATTTAGTAGGGGAGAATTAAAATATCCTAAATTTTGCAACAAATTACAATTTACTCTTTGGTTATGATCTTGGGATCACGGAAGGAGTGACTTCCATGGAACCTTTCCTAATACAATTCTTTCCTAGTGTTTATAAACAAATGCAAGACGAATCTAACCACGAAAGCCAATATTGCAAATTTGACAATGAGCTCCTTACTTTGTTCACCTCTTCATTATATCTTGCTGCATTAGTAGCTTCTTTCTGTGCTTCCACCACCACAAGAATGATGGGACGCAAGACCTCAATGTTTGTAGGTGGTTTGTTTTTCCTTTTTGGTGCTTTGTTGAATGGTTTTGCCATCAATATTGAGATGCTTATCATAGGTCGTTTATTGCTTGGTTTTGGTGTTGGATATTGTAATCGGGTGAGACTTCATATCATTTTCAATGCTTTCAAGTTTTATTATAAATGTAGATAATTTTTCATGATTACCTATTTTAAAATGTTTTCTTTTATTATTATTATTATTATTTCCAATAGTCTGTACCTGTGTATTTGTCTGAAATGGCCCCAACAACGATAAGAGGTGCACTCAACATTGGTTTTCAAATGATGATCACAATTGGCATATTAATTGCAAACCTTATCAACTATGGGACTGCAAAACTAGAATATGGTTGGAGAATTTCTTTAGGTATTGGTGCAGTCCCCGCAATAATGCTATGTGTGGGATCTCTTTTCTTAGGTGACACACCAAACTCTCCGGTTGAAAGAGGTAAAATAGAAGCAGCTAAGAAAATGTTGCAAAGGATTCGTGGCGTTGATAATGTCGATGAGGAGTTCCAAGAGCTCGTTGATGCGACTAAAGCGACCAAAGATGTGGAACACCCATGGAAGAACATTATACAACCAAAACATAGGCCTCAACTCACTTTTTGCTCTCTCGATTCCATTCTTCCAACAATTCACCAGTATCAATGTCATAATGTTTTATGCACCCGTCCTCTTTAAAACTTTAGGCTTTGGAAGCGATACTTCCCTTATGTCTTCCGTTATCACCGGAGGTGTTAATGTGGTTGCCACTGTTGTTTCCATTTTCTCTCGTGGACAAGTTTGGAAGAAGGATATTGTTCCTCGAAGGTGGTATTCAAATGCTTGTTTGTCGGTAAAAACCTTAACTTAATCAATAGACAATGCTTGCTATTTTAATATTTAAAAAAAAATAACATTTTTATCACTTTGGTTAAGTCAATTTTTTAGCATGAACAACTAATTCGAAGGCCATAATAATTGTTTGTAGCTTGTCGTTGGAACCATGATTGCTATGAAGTTTGGAGTGAGCGGTGAAGGCTCATTTACCAATGGAGAAGCTAGTCTCCTCTTATTCTTTATATGTGCATATGTTGCAGCATATGCATGGTCTTGGGGTCCACTAGGGTGGTTGGTTCCAAGTGAAATATGTTCTCTTGAGGTTCGATCGGCAGGTCAAAGCACCAATGTTGTCGTAAACATGTTGTTCACCTTTGTCATTGCTCAAATTTTCCTAACCATGCTGTGTCACTTGAAGTTTGGCCTTTTCTTCTTCTTTGCTGGATTTGTGCTTATCATGACCATTTTTGTCGCCTTGTTCCTACCCGAGACAAGGAACGTCCGAATTGAAGAAATGAATAGAGTATGGAAATCACACTCGGTTTTGGACTAGGTTCATTCCAAATGATACCGTCATCGATGGACATCCTCATATGGTCACGCCTTGAAATTAAATTCACCAATATTTTCATTTAAATGAGCCAACAAAATCTCTATCATTTTTCACATAATCTCATTGTAATTACGTGAATCGTATTTATTTATTTGATTATTTATCATTTTATAGTAATGCTTGAATTTGTTTTGATTTTTTCCTTAAAGTTAATGTTGAGTTATTTGAACAAATAGTTGGTCAAAATATTTGACACTTATTCAAAACACATTGTTATTTAACAAACACTAAATATGTAAAAGACTATGGGTATGGTTAGACATACGTTGAAATGATATTGAATGGAAAAATTGTACTTTCCAATATATAAATAGACATGAAGTGAAAATGGTGAATTAAGTTAAACTTTAAAATGAGTTTAATTAGAGAAAATTCAAATCAAAACACACAATAAAATTTGTTGGGGATTATGTTTTGTAGTAAGTTTCAAAATTTGTAGAAACTACCACCATATTTTTGTTTTTAATAGAGAATAAATTTTGGTTTCAAAACTTTATTTCTTTTTTAATTTTATAATTCAAAATTTTATATCAAGTTAAAGTTACGTATATTTATATGGGACACATTGTCAACATTGATGTTAGTGTTAATAATGATATTAGCAATAATGGTGATACTTGATAAATATAGTTTTCTTAGCAGTGGTGGTGTAAGTAATGGTGATAATGACAATCATTATGATATTGGTGACCATGATAACGAACATAATACTTATGATATCAATGACTATGGTAATAATAACAATAGAAGTTATGGTAATAACAATAATGATTACGGCAATGCAAGTGGAGATAGACAATAGTTATGATAATGACGATGAAGAAAATGTTCCCAAATATCAAATTAATAAATAGTTTTTCATCATTTAAAAAAAAAACTTAATTAATTATTTCATACCCCAAAAGCTGTTGTGTGTTTATTTTGATCTCGTTTAGTTGATTTTGGTCCCTTTAATTTGTTTTAGTTTTCATTATAAATTTTACGATTGTTGTCCCCATTGTTAAATTTTTAAGCGATGATTTAACTAACTCGAGTACCACATAATTACTTTCTTTTAGGATTGAAGTACACATTGTGTGGTCATTTTAAGTTATACATCATCATTTTGACTTTTTCTAAAGAAAGTACCCTTTGTTTTCAAAGTAGGTGAAATGTGAGGGATTAGTTTCGTCGTGTGTTGACGCTTTGTTCCCTCAGTAACCTTCGTTCTACATTGGGGATTAATCAAGGAGCAAGAAAAGAGCCAAAAATATCTAAAGAATTTCTATGGGCATCTTAACTAGAAGCAATGGAAAAGAACCCGAGGAAAAGCTACCCGAACCCAACCAAAGCATGATGGCTCTTGGGATGTTTAGAATTTTAATCATTTGTAAAAAATAAATTATTTTACAAACCAATATAATAATCTCTTAATAACTTCAACAAAATTATACGTAAATATTTCTAAATATCAACCAAAATTTTATTTTATATGTTACACCTACTTGTTTTAATTTAATACGATTTTAATTTCTAATATATTTTATTTTATAAAAAATGTGTGCTTTAGTTTTTGTTCTTTATCATCGCTTTTGGTTAAGATTTATTTGTACGGAAAAATATTTAAAAAAACTAAAGATGAATTATTTTAAAATTACAAAGAAATAAAAATTGTATGGTTCCAAAATTGAATTTGGTAAAATTACAAGATCCAAATTATATTTAAACGTTTTATATTAGTTTAGTTTAATTTTAGGAGTAGGGAAGACGTTAATAAATAAATAACTATTATATGATAGGTTGTTTTAAGATAATTTTTGTCTATCATTAAAAGAAATAAAAAACCGAGTGGAGTGAAATTTAATTCTACGACATTAAAAAGTAATATATTCATTATTTGTACAAATCTTCTAGTCATAATCCTTCTTCATATGTAGCTTTGTTGTAATAGTTGTCCATACAGTCTTCCGATTCTCCTTGAAGAAACTAATCCTTTCAAATGTACTAGATAACCAAGTCCAAAGATAGTTGCATGAGCAAGTATGGTCTTCAATCAACAACACATATTTCTCCCAAAAGACAATGGATATCTTCAAAATGACCATCTCCTCCACATATAGGTCATCGATTGTCAATTTTATCCTTCTCTATATCTAATCCATTAAGAGGATTAGGAATGATGTAACATTTTACTTTGTTAACTTTCATCTTCAGACTCATCCTCTCGAAAGGGAGTGCGGAGAGCGGTTACAGTACAGATCGACCACAAACACATAGACACAATCAAGATATTTTAAAGTAATAGAATATTCTAGAGAAAGACCTCATCTACTATAGTGGAACCAAAAATTTTATTAACGAGTCATCTTCCAATACTCTATCCTTATAGCAAATAGAATAACAGACTATGATAAGTCAATGGCTAGTGGACTCATTTAACCACAACCAACAACAACTTCCAGCACTAACCTTGAATAATAACATTGTCCCGTAACACCAATTGATGATGAAGATCGCTAAGGATAAAGAGAGTGAACACATGTTGAATACAATCTCTAACATTTCACCTACTTCGATAAAAAAGGATGTTCTATTTGAAGAGGACACAATGAGAACATTAATCCTACATCGAAATGATGATGTGGGACTCTGTTAGCCATGTCATCAATTAACCATGAATTAATGGCATGAACCACAACTAAATTATTTATATATGCGAGTAGAAAACGAAATTAAATAAATAAAAAGGAAGAAAATGAAAATGCAACATTTATTTGGCCAAAAAAAAATTAAAATTGAAGCAGATCAATATTGGCTTATTGTTTTATAATATATTTATCAATGCAATAGATAAACGTATAAATTAATTTGTTAATGAAAATTATTTGAATTATGAATTGATTATATCATTGATTATTGGTCGAAATAAAATATAGTTCCAAAATTAATGATTATCAAGGTGATGTGTAGCTATCAAACAGCTTAGTTCTTATCTCAAATTCTTAAAACAAAGATATTTGTTCTAACGAAAAGAAGCAAAACACGTAAGTTAGGATATTTATAGCATGATAGATAATAAAATGACTTAAAAATATATAATATTGTTAGAGAAGTTATTTCATTATTATATGCACATTCTTATCTCGTTAGATGCTATCAATAACATGTTTGAGATTATAAAAACAAATTATTACTTCACCTCTAATATGTAGAAAAGGAAGGGAATGCTAAGACAAGCAAACATATTCACTTAAGATATAAAATTTGGAAAGATGGCGGGTGGAGCTTTAGTTACTCTAGAAAACGAAGACAATATGAGGGTAAGATCACAACGTTTGTGTTGGTCACGTGTTTTGTAGCAGCCATGGGTGGTTTACTCTTTGGTTATGATCTTGGGATCACTGGGAGGAGTGACTTCCATGGAACCTTTCCTAATAAAATTCTTTCCTAGTGTTTATAAACAAATGCAAGACGAATCTAACCACGAAAGCCAATATTGCAAATTTGACAATGAGCTCCTTACTTTGTTCACCTCTTCATTATATCTTGCTGCATTAGTAGCTTCTTTTTGTGCTTCCACAACCACAAGAATGATGGGACGCAAGACCTCAATGTTTGTAGGTGGTTTGTTTTTCCTTGTTGGTGCTTTGTTGAATGGTTTTGCCATCAATATTGAGATGCTTATCATAGGTCGTTTATTGCTTGGTTTTGGTGTTGGATATTGTAATCGGGTGAGACTTCATATCATTTTCAATGCTTTCAAGTTTTATTATAAATGTAGATAATTTTTCATGATTACCTATTTTAAAATGTTTTCTTTTATTATTATTATTATTATTTCCAATAGTCTCGTACTGTGTATTTGTCCGAAATGGCCCCAACAACGATAAGAGGTGCACTCAACATTGGTTTTCAAATGATGATCACAATTGGCATATTAATTGCAAACCTTATCAACTATGGGACTGCAAAACTAGAATATGGTTGGAGAATTTCTTTAGGTATTGGTGCAGTCCCCGCAATAATGCTATGTGTGGGATCTCTTTTCTTAGGTGACACACCAAACTCTCTCGGTTGAAAGAGGTAAAATAGAAGCAGCTAAGAAAATGTTGCAAAGGATTCGTGGCGTTGATAATGTCGATGAGGAGTTCCAAGAGCTCGTTGATGCGACTAAAGCAGCCAAAGATGTGGAACACCCATGGAAGAACATTATACAACCAAAATATAGGCCTCAACTCACTTTTTGCTCTCTCGATTCCATTCTTCCAACAATTCACCGGTATCAATGTCATAATGTTTTATGCACCCGTCCTCTTTAAAACTTTAGGCTTTGGAAGCGATACTTCCCTTATGTCTTCCGTTATCACCTGGAGGTGTTAATGTGGTTGCCACTCGTTGTTTCCATTTTCTCTGTGGACAAGTTTGGAAGAAGGATATTGTTCCTCGAAGGTGGTATTCAAATGCTTGTTTGTCGGTAAAAACCTTAACTTAATCAATAGACAATGCTTGCTATTTTAATATTTAAAAAAAATAACATTTTTATCACTTTGGTTAAGTCAATTTTTTAGCATGAACAACTAATTCGAAGGCCATAATAATTGTTTGTAGCTTGCTGTTGGAACCATGATTGCTATGAAGTTTGGAGTGAGCTGTGAAGGCTCATTTACCAATGGAGAAGCTAGTCTCCTCTTATTCTTTATATGTGCATATGTTGCAGCATATGCATGGTCTTGGGGTCCACTAGGGTGGTTGGTTCCAAGTGAAATATGTTCTCTTGAGGTTCGATCGGCAGGTCAAAGCACCAATGTTGCTGTAAACATGTTGTTCACCTTTGTCATTGCTCAAATTTTCCTAACCATGCTGTGTCACTTGAAGTTTGGCCTTTTCTTCTTCTTTGCTGGATTTGTGCTTATCATGACCATTTTTGTCGCCTTGTTCCTACCCGAGACAAGGAACGTCCGAATTGAAGAAATGAATAGAGTATGGAAATCACACTCGGTTTTGGACTAGGTTCATTCCAAATGATACCGTCATCGATGGACATCCTCATATGGTCACGCCTTGAAATTAAATTCACCAATATTTTCATTTAAATGAGCCAACAAAATCTCTATCATTTTTCACATAATCTCATTGTAATTACGTGAATCGTATTTATTTATTTGATTATTTATCATTTTATAGTAATGCTTGAATTTGTTTTGATTTTTTCCTTAAAGTTAATGTTGAGTTATTTGAACAAATAGTTGGTCAAAATATTTGACACTTATTCAAAACACATTGTTATTTAACAAACACTAAATATGTAAAAGACTATGGGTATGGTTAGACATACGTTGAAATGATATTGAATGGAAAAATTACTTTCCAATATATAAATAGACATGAAGTGAAAATGGTGAATTAAGTTAAACTTTAAAATGAGTTTAATTAGAGAAAATTCAAATCAAAACACACAATAAAATTTGTTGGGGATTATGTTTTGTAGTAAGTTTCAAAATTTGTAGAAACTACCACCATATTTTTGTTTTTAATAGAGAATAAATTTTGGTTTCAAAACTTTATTTCTTTTTTAATTTTATAATTCAAAATTTTATATCAAGTTAAAGTTACTGTGATATTTATATGGCAGACACATTGTCAACATTGATGTTAGTGTTAATAATGATATTAGCAATAATGGTGATACTGATAAATATAGTTTTCTTAGCAAGTGGTGGTGTAAGTAATGGTGATAATGACAATCATTATGATATTGGTGACCATGATAACGAACATAATACTTATGATATCAATGACTATGGTAATAATAACAATAGAAGTTATGGTAATAACAATAATGATTACTGCAATGCAAGTGGAGATAGACAATAGTTATGATAATGACGATGAAGAAAATGTTCCTAAATATCAAATTAATAAATAGTTTTTCATCATTTAAAAAAAAAACTTAATTAATTATTTCATACCCCAAAAACTGTTGTGTGTTTATTTTGATCTCGTTTAGTTGATTTTGGTCCCTTTAATTTGTTTTAGTTTTCATTATAAATTTTACGATTGTTGTCCCCATTGTTAAATTTTTAAGCGATGATTTAACTAACTGAGTACCACATAATTACTTTCTTTTAGGATTGAAGTACACATTGTGTGGTCATTTTAAGTTATACATCATCATTTTGACTTTTTCTAAAGAAAGTACCCTTTGTTTTCAAAGTAGGTGAAATGTGAGGGATTAGTTTCGTCGTGTGTTGACGCTTTGTTCCCTCAGTAACCTTCGTTCTACATTGGGGATTAATCAAGGAGCAAGAAAAGAGCCAAAAATATCTAAAGAATTTCTATGGGCATCTTAACTAGAAGCAATGGAAAAGAACCTGAGGAAAAGCTACCCGAACCCAACCAAAGCATGATGGCTCTTGGGATGTTTAGAATTTTAATCATTTGTAAAAAATAAATTATTTTACAAACCAATATAATAATCTCTTAATAACTTCAACAAAATTATACGTAAATATTTCTAAATATCAACCAAAATTTTATTTTATATGTTACACCTACTGTTTTAATTTAATACGATTTTAATTTCTAATATATTTTATTTTATAAAAAATGTGTGCTTTAGTTTTTGTTCTTTATCATCGCTTTTGGTTAAGATTTATTTGTACGGAAAAATATTTAAAAAAACTAAAGATGAATTATTTTAAAATTACAAAGAAATAAAAATTGTATGGTTCCAAAATTGAATTTGGTAAAATTACAAGATCCAAATTATATTTAAACGTTTTATATTAGTTTAGTTTAATTTTAGGAGTAGGGAAGACGTTAATAAATAAATAACTATTATATGATAGGTTGTTTTAAGATAATTTTTGTCTATCATTAAAAGAAATAAAAAACCAGTGGAGTGAAATTTAATTCTACGACATTAAAAAGTAATATATTCATTATTTGTACAAATCTTCTAGTCATAATCCTTCTTCATATGTAGCTTTGTTGTAATAGTGTGTCCATACAGCTCTTCCGATTCTCCTTGAAGAAACTAATCCTTTCAAATGTACTAGATAACCAAGTCCAAAGATAGTTGCATGAGCAAGTATGGTCTTCAATCAACAACACATATTTCTCCCAAAAGACAATGGATATCTTCAAAATGACCATCTCCTCCACATATAGGTCATCGATTGTCAATTTTATCCTTCTCTATATCTAATCCATTAAGAGGATTAGGAATGATGTAACATTTTACTTTGTTAACTTTCATCTTCAGACTCATCCTCTCGAAAGGGAGTGCGGAGAGCGGTTACAGTACAGATCGACCACAAACACATAGACACAATCAAGATATTTTAAAGTAATAGAATATTCTAGAGAAAGACCTCATCTACTATAGTGGAACCAAAAATTTTATTAACGAGTCATCTTCCAATACTCTATCCTTATAGCAAATAGAATAACAGCTTATGATAAGTCAATGGCTAGTGGACTCATTTAACCACAACCAACAACAACTTCCAGCACTAACCTTGAATAATAACATTGTCCCGTAACACCAATTGATGATGAAGATCGCTAAGGATAAAGAGAGTGAACACATGTTGAATACAATCTCTAACATTTCACCTACTTCGATAAAAAAAGGATGTTCTATTTGAAGAGGACACAATGAGAACATTAATCCTACATCGAAATGATGATGTGGGACTTCGTTAGCCATGTCATCAATTAACCATGAATTAATGGCATGAACCACAACTAAATTATTTATATATGCGAGTAGAAAACGAAATTAAATAAATAAAAAGGAAGAAAATGAAAATGCAACATTTATTTGGCCAAAAAAAATTAAAATTGAAGCAAGTCAATATTGGCTTATTGTTTTATAATATATTTATCAATGCAATAGATAAACGTATAAATTAATTTGTTAATGAAAATTATTTGAATTATGAATTGATTATATCATTGATTATTGGTCGAAATAAAATATAGTTCCAAAATTAATGATTATCAAGGTGATGTGTAGCTATCAAACAGCTTAGTTCTTATCTCAAATTCTTAAAACAAAGATATTTGTTCTAACGAAAAGAAGCAAAACACGTAAGTTAGGATATTTATAGCATGATAGATAATAAAATGACTTAAAAATATATAATATTGTTAGAGAAGTTATTTCATTATTATATGCACATTCTTATCTCGTTAGATGCTATCAATAACATGCTTGAGGTTATAAAAACAAATTATTACTTCACCTCTAATATGTAGAAAAGGAAGGGAATGCTAAGACAAGCAAACATATTCACTTAAGATATAAAATTTGGAAAGATGGCGGGTGGAGCTTTAGTTACTCTAGAAAACGAAGACAATATGAGGGTAAGATCACAACGTTTGTGTTGGTCACGTGTTTTGTAGCAGCCATGGGTGGTTTACTCTTTGGTTATGATCTTGGGATCACTGGAGGAGTGACTTCCATGGAACCTTTCCTAATAAAATTCTTTCCTAGTGTTTATAAACAAATGCAAGACGAATCTAACCACGAAAGCCAATATTGCAAATTTGACAATGAGCTCCTTACTTTGTTCACCTCTTCATTATATCTTGCTGCATTAGTAGCTTCTTTTTGTGCTTCCACAACCACAAGAATGATGGGACGCAAGACCTCAATGTTTGTAGGTGGTTTGTTTTTCCTTGTTGGTGCTTTGTTGAATGGTTTTGCCATCAATATTGAGATGCTTATCATAGGTCGTTTATTGCTTGGTTTTGGTGTTGGATATTGTAATCAGTGTGAGACTTCATATCATTTTCAATGCTTTCAAGTTTTATTATAAATGTAGATAATTTTTCATGATTACCTATTTTAAAATGTTTTCTTTTATTATTATTATTATTATTTCCAATAGTCTCGTACTGTGTATTTGTCTGAAATGGCCCCAACAACGATAAGAGGTGCACTCAACATTGGTTTTCAAATGATGATCACAATTGGCATATTAATTGCAAACCTTATCAACTATGGGACTGCAAAACTAGAATATGGTTGGAGAATTTCTTTAGGTATTGGTGCAGTCCCCGCAATAATGCTATGTGTGGGATCTCTTTTCTTAGGTGACACACCAAACTCTCTGGTTGAAAGAGGTAAAATAGAAGCAGCTAAGAAAATGTTGCAAAGGATTCGTGGCGTTGATAATGTCGATGAGGAGTTCCAAGAGCTCGTTGATGCGACTAAAGCAGCCAAAGATGTGGAACACCCATGGAAGAACATTATACAACCAAAATATAGGCCTCAACTCACTTTTTGCTCTCTGATTCCATTCTTCCAACAATTCACCGGTATCAATGTCATAATGTTTTATGCACCCGTCCTCTTTAAAACTTTAGGCTTTGGAAGCGATACTTCCCTTATGTCTTCCGTTATCACCGGAGGTGTTAATGTGGTTGCCACTCGTTGTTTCCATTTTCTCTCGTGGACAAGTTTGGAAGAAGGATATTGTTCCTCGAAGGTGGTATTCAAATGCTTGTTTGTCGTGTAAAAACCTTAACTTAATCAATAGACAATGCTTGCTATTTTAATATTTAAAAAAAAATAACATTTTTATCACTTTGGTTAAGTCATTTTTTTAGCATGAACAACTAATTCGAAGGCCATAATAATTGTTTGTAGCTTGCTGTTGGAACCATGATTGCTATGAAGTTTGGAGTGAGCGGTGAAGGCTCATTTACCAATGGAGAAGCTAGTCTCCTCTTATTCTTTATATGTGCATATGTTGCAGCATATGCATGGTCTTGGGGTCCACTAGGGTGGTTGGTTCCAAGTGAAATATGTTCTCTTGAGGTTCGATCGGCAGGTCAAAGCACCAATGTTGCTGTAAACATGTTGTTCACCTTTGTCATTGCTCAAATTTTCCTAACCATGCTCGTGTCACTTGAAGTTTGGCCTTTTCTTCTTCTTTGCTGGATTTGTGCTTATCATGACCATTTTTGTCGCCTTGTTCCTACCCGAGACAAGGAACGTCCGAATTGAAGAAATGAATAGAGTATGGAAATCACACTGGTTTTGGACTAGGTTCATTCCAAATGATACCGTCATCGATGGACATCCTCATATGGTCACGCCTTGAAATTAAATTCACCAATATTTTCATTTAAATGAGCCAACAAAATCTCTATCATTTTTCACATAATCTCATTGTAATTACGTGAATCGTATTTATTTATTTGATTATTTATCATTTTATAGTAATGCTTGAATTTGTTTTGATTTTTTCCTTAAAGTTAATGTTGAGTTATTTGAACAAATAGTTGGTCAAAATATTTGACACTTATTCAAAACACATTGTTATTTAACAAACACTAAATATGTAAAAGACTATGGGTATGGTTAGACATACGTTGAAATGATATTGAATGGAAAAATTACTTTCCAATATATAAATAGACATGAAGTGAAAATGGTGAATTAAGTTAAACTTTAAAATGAGTTTAATTAGAGAAAATTCAAATCAAAACACACAATAAAATTTGTTGGGGATTATGTTTTGTAGTAAGTTTCAAAATTTGTAGAAACTACCACCATATTTTTGTTTTTAATAGAGAATAAATTTTGGTTTCAAAACTTTATTTCTTTTTTAATTTTATAATTCAAAATTTTATATCAAGTTAAAGTTACGGTATATTTATATGGCGGACACATTGTCAACATTGATGTTAGTGTTAATAATGATATTAGCAATAATGGTGATACTGATAAATATAGTTTTCTTAGCAGTGGTGGTGTAAGTAATGGTGATAATGACAATCATTATGATATTGGTGACCATGATAACGAACATAATACTTATGATATCAATGACTATGGTAATAATAACAATAGAAGTTATGGTAATAACAATAATGATTACGGCAATGCAAGTGGAGATAGACAATAGTTATGATAATGACGATGAAGAAAATGTTCCTAAATATCAAATTAATAAATAGTTTTTCATCATTTAAAAAAAAAACTTAATTAATTATTTCATACCCCAAAACTCGTTGTGTGTTTATTTTGATCTCGTTTAGTTGATTTTGGTCCCTTTAATTTGTTTTAGTTTTCATTATAAATTTTACGATTGTTGTCCCCATTGTTAAATTTTTAAGCGATGATTTAACTAACTGAGTACCACATAATTACTTTCTTTTAGGATTGAAGTACACATTGTGTGGTCATTTTAAGTTATACATCATCATTTTGACTTTTTCTAAAGAAAGTACCCTTTGTTTTCAAAGTAGGTGAAATGTGAGGGATTAGTTTCGTCGTGTGTTGACGCTTTGTTCCCTCAGTAACCTTCGTTCTACATTGGGGATTAATCAAGGAGCAAGAAAAGAGCCAAAAATATCTAAAGAATTTCTATGGGCATCTTAACTAGAAGCAATGGAAAAGAACCTGAGGAAAAGCTACCCGAACCCAACCAAAGCATGATGGCTCTTGGGATGTTTAGAATTTTAATCATTTGTAAAAAATAAATTATTTTACAAACCAATATAATAATCTCTTAATAACTTCAACAAAATTATACGTAAATATTTCTAAATATCAACCAAAATTTTATTTTATATGTTACACCTACTTGTTTTAATTTAATACGATTTTAATTTCTAATATATTTTATTTTATAAAAAATGTGTGCTTTAGTTTTTGTTCTTTATCATCGCTTTTGGTTAAGATTTATTTGTACGGAAAAATATTTAAAAAAACTAAAGATGAATTATTTTAAAATTACAAAGAAATAAAAATTGTATGGTTCCAAAATTGAATTTGGTAAAATTACAAGATCCAAATTATATTTAAACGTTTTATATTAGTTTAGTTTAATTTTAGGAGTAGGGAAGACGTTAATAAATAAATAACTATTATATGATAGGTTGTTTTAAGATAATTTTTGTCTATCATTAAAAGAAATAAAAAACCAGTGGAGTGAAATTTAATTCTACGACATTAAAAAGTAATATATTCATTATTTGTACAAATCTTCTAGTCATAATCCTTCTTCATATGTAGCTTTGTTGTAATAGTTGTCCATGCAGTCTTCCGATTCTCCTTGAAGAAACTAATCCTTTCAAATGTACTAGATAACCAAGTCCAAAGATAGTTGCATGAGCAGTATGGTCTTCAATCAACAACACATATTTCTCCCAAAAGACAATGGATATCTTCAAAATGACCATCTCCTCCACATATAGGTCATCGATTGTCAATTTTATCCTTCTCTATATCTAATCCATTAAGAGGATTAGGAATGATGTAACATTTTACTTTGTTAACTTTCATCTTCAGACTCATCCTCTCGAAAGGGAGTGCGGAGAGCGGTTACAGTACAGTCGACCACAAACACATAGACACAATCAAGATATTTTAAAGTAATAGAATATTCTAGAGAAAGACCTCATCTACTATAGTGGAACCAAAAATTTTATTAACGAGTCCTCTTCCAATACTCTATCCTTATAGCAAATAGAATAACAGCTATGATAAGTCAATGGCTAGTGGACTCATTTAACCACAACCAACAACAACTTCCCGCACTAACCTTGAATAATAACATTGTCCCGTAACACCAATTGATGATGAAGATCGCTAAGGATAAAGAGAGTGAACACATGTTGAATACAATCTCTAACATTTCACCTACTTCTGATAAAAAAAGGATGTTCTATTTGAAGAGGACACAATGAGAACATTAATCCTACATCGAAATGATGATGTGGGACTCTGTTAGCCATGTCATCAATTAACCATGAATTAATGGCATGAACCACAACTAAATTATTTATATATGCGAGAAGAAAACGAAATTAAATAAATAAAAAGGAAGAAAATGAAAATGCAACATTTATTTGGCCAAAAAAAAAATTAAAATTGAAGCGAGTCAATATTGGCTTATTGTTTTATAATATATTTATCAATGCAATAGATAAACGTATAAATTAATTTGTTAATGAAAATTATTTGAATTATGAATTGATTATATCATTGATTATTGGTCGAAATAAAATATAGTTCCAAAATTAATGATTATCAAGGTGATGTGTAGCTATCAAACAGCTTAGTTCTTATCTCAAATTCTTAAAACAAAGATATTTGTTCTAACGAAAAGAAGCAAAACACGTAAGTTAGGATATTTATAGCATGATAGATAATAAAATGACTTAAAAATATATAATATTGTTAGAGAAGTTATTTCATTATTATATGCACATTCTTATCTCGTTAGATGCTATCAATAACATGTTTGAGGTTATAAAAACAAATTATTACTTCACCTCTAATATGTAGAAAAGGAAGGGAATGCTAAGACAAGCAAACATATTCACTTAAGATATAAAATTTGGAAAGATGGCGGGTGGAGCTTTAGTTACTCTAGAAAACGGAAGACAATATGAGGGTAAGATCACAACGTTTGTGTTGGTCACGTGTTTTGTAGCAGCCATGGGTGGTTTACTCTTTGGTTATGATCTTGGGATCACGGGAGGAGTGACTTCCATGGAACCTTTCCTAATAAAATTCTTTCCTAGTGTTTATAAACAAATGCAAGACGAATCTAACCACGAAAGCCAATATTGCAAATTTGACAATGAGCTCCTTACTTTGTTCACCTCTTCATTATATCTTGCTGCATTAGTAGCTTCTTTTTGTGCTTCCACAACCACAAGAATGATGGGACGCAAGACCTCAATGTTTGTAGGTGGTTTGTTTTTCCTTGTTGGTGCTTTGTTGAATGGTTTTGCCATCAATATTGAGATGCTTATCATAGGTCGTTTATTGCTTGGTTTTGGTGTTGGATATTGTAATCAGGTGAGACTTCATATCATTTTCAATGCTTTCAAGTTTTATTATAAATGTAGATAATTTTTCATGATTACCTATTTTAAAATGTTTTCTTTTATTATTATTATTATTATTTCCAATAGTCTGTACCTGTGTATTTGTCTGAAATGGCCCCAACAACGATAAGAGGTGCACTCAACATTGGTTTTCAAATGATGATCACAATTGGCATATTAATTGCAAACCTTATCAACTATGGGACTGCAAAACTAGAATATGGTTGGAGAATTTCTTTAGGTATTGGTGCAGTCCCCGCAATAATGCTATGTGTGGGATCTCTTTTCTTAGGTGACACACCAAACTCTCTCGGTTGAAAGAGGTAAAATAGAAGCAGCTAAGAAAATGTTGCAAAGGATTTGTGGCGTTGATAATGTCGATGAGGAGTTCCAAGAGCTCGTTGATGCGACTAAAGCGACCAAAGATGTGGAACACCCATGGAAGAACATTATACAACCAAAATATAGGCCTCAACTCACTTTTTGCTCTCTCGATTCCATTCTTCCAACAATTCACCGGTATCAATGTCATAATGTTTTATGCACCCGTCCTCTTTAAAACTTTAGGCTTTGGAAGCGATACTTCCCTTATGTCTTCCGTTATCACCGGAGGTGTTAATGTGGTTGCCATCGTTGTTTCCATTTTCTCTGTGGACAAGTTTGGAAGAAGGATATTGTTCCTCAAAGGTGGTATTCAAATGCTTGTTTGTCGGGTAAAAACCTTAACTTAATTAATAGACAATGCTTGCTATTTTAATATTTAAAAAAAATAACATTTTTATCACTTTGGTTAAGTCAATTTTTTAGCATGAACAACTAATTCGAAGGCCATAATAATTGTTTGTAGCTTGCTGTTGGAACCATGATTGCTATGAAGTTTGGAGTGAGCGGTGAAGGCTCATTTACCAATGGAGAAGCTAGTCTCCTCTTATTCTTTATATGTGCATATGTTGCAGCATATGCATGGTCTTGGGGTCCACTAGGGTGGTTGGTTCCAAGTGAAATATGTTCTCTTGAGGTTCGATCGGCAGGTCAAAGCACCAATGTTGCTGTAAACATGTTGTTCACCTTTGTCATTGCTCAAATTTTCCTAACCATGCTGTGTCACTTGAAGTTTGGCCTTTTCTTCTTCTTTGCTGGATTTGTGCTTATCATGACCATTTTTGTCGCCTTGTTCCTACCCGAGACAAGGAACGTCCGAATTGAAGAAATGAATAGAGTATGGAAATCACACTGGTTTTGGACTAGGGTCATTCCAAATGATACCGTCATCGATGGACATCCTCATATGGTCACGCCTTGAAATTAAATTCACCAATATTTTCATTTAAATGAGCCAACAAAATCTCTATCATTTTTCACATAATCTCATTGTAATTACGTGAATCGTATTTATTTATTTGATTATTTATCATTTTATAGTAATGCTTGAATTTGTTTTGATTTTTTCCTTAAAGTTAATGTTGAGTTATTTGAACAAATAGTTGGTCAAAATATTTGACACTTATTCAAAACACATTGTTATTTAACAAACACTAAATATGTAAAAGACTATGGGTATGGTTAGACATACGTTGAAATGATATTGAATGGAAAAATTACTTTCCAATATATAAATAGACATGAAGTGAAAATGGTGAATTAAGTTAAACTTTAAAATGAGTTTAATTAGAGAAAATTCAAATCAAAACACACAATAAAATTTGTTGGGGATTATGTTTTGTAGTAAGTTTCAAAATTTGTAGAAACTACCACCATATTTTTGTTTTTAATAGAGAATAAATTTTGGTTTCAAAACTTTATTTCTTTTTTAATTTTATAATTCAAAATTTTATATCAAGTTAAAGTTACTGGTATATTTATATGGCAGACACATTGTCAACATTGATGTTAGTGTTAATAATGATATTAGCAATAATGGTGATACTCATAAATATAGTTTTCTTAGCAGTGGTGGTGTAAGTAATGGTGATAATGACAATCATTATGATATTGGTGACCATGATAACAAACATAATACTTATGATATCAATGACTATGGTAATAATAACAATAGAAGTTATGGTAATAACAATAATGATTACGGCAATGCAAGTGGAGATAGACAATAGTTATGATAATGACGATGAAGAAAATGTTCCCAAATATCAAATTAATAAATAGTTTTTCATCATTTAAAAAAAAAAACTTAATTAATTATTTCATACCCCAAAAACTGTTGTGTGTTTATTTTGATCTCGTTTAGTTGATTTTGGTCCCTTTAATTTGTTTTAGTTTTCATTATAAATTTTACGATTGTTGTCCCCATTGTTAAATTTTTAAGCGATGATTTAACTAACTGAGTACCACATAATTACTTTCTTTTAGGATTGAAGTACACATTGTGTGGTCATTTTAAGTTATACATCATCATTTTGACTTTTTCTAAAGAAAGTACCCTTTGTTTTCAAAGTAGGTGAAATGTGAGGGATTAGTTTCGTCGTGTGTTGACGCTTTGTTCCCTCAGTAACCTTCGTTCTACATTGGGGATTAATCAAGGAGCAAGAAAAGAGCCAAAAATATCTAAAGAATTTCTATGGGCATCTTAACTAGAAGCAATGGAAAAGAACCTGAGGAAAAGCTACCCGAACCCAACCAAAGCATGATGGCTCTTGGGATGTTTAGAATTTTAATCATTTGTAAAAAATAAATTATTTTACAAACCAATATAATAATCTCTTAATAACTTCAACAAAATTATACGTAAATATTTCTAAATATCAACCAAAATTTTATTTTATATGTTACACCTACTTGTTTTAATTTAATACGATTTTAATTTCTAATATATTTTATTTTATAAAAAATGTGTGCTTTAGTTTTTGTTCTTTATCATCGCTTTTGGTTAAGATTTATTTGTACGGAAAAATATTTAAAAAAACTAAAGATGAATTATTTTAAAATTACAAAGAAATAAAAATTGTATGGTTCCAAAATTGAATTTGGTAAAATTACAAGATCCAAATTATATTTAAACGTTTTATATTAGTTTAGTTTAATTTTAGGAGTAGGGAAGACGTTAATAAATAAATAACTATTATATGATAGGTTGTTTTAAGATAATTTTTGTCTATCATTAAAAGAAATAAAAAACCAGTGGAGTGAAATTTAATTCTACGACATTAAAAAGTAATATATTCATTATTTGTACAAATCTTCTAGTCACAATCCTTCTTCATATGTAGCTTTGTTGTAATAGTTGTCCATACAGTCTTCCGATTCTCCTTGAAGAAACTAATCCTTTCAAATGTACTAGATAACCAAGTCCAAAGATAGTTGCATGAGCAGTATGGTCTTCAATCAACAACACATATTTCTCCCAAAAGACAATGGATATCTTCAAAATGACCATCTCCTCCACATATAGGTCATCGATTGTCAATTTTATCCTTCTCTATATCTAATCCATTAAGAGGATTAGGAATGATGTAACATTTTACTGTGTTAACTTTCATCTTCAGACTCATCCTCTCGAAAGGGAGTGCGGAGAGCGGTTACAGTACAGTCGACCACAAACACATAGACACAATCAAGATATTTTAAAGTAATAGAATATTCTAGAGAAAGACCTCATCTACTATAGTGGAACCAAAAATTTTATTAACGAGTCCTCTTCCAATACTCTATCCTTATAGCAAATAGAATAACAGCTATGATAAGTCAATGGCTAGTGGACTCATTTAACCACAACCAACAACAACTTCCCGCACTAACCTTGAATAATAACATTGTCCCGTAACACCAATTGATGATGAAGATCGCTAAGGATAAAGAGAGTGAACACATGTTGAATACAATCTCTAACATTTCACCTACTTCTGATAAAAAAAGGATGTTCTACTTGAAGAGGACACAATGAGAACATTAATCCTACATCGAAATGATGATGTGGGACTCTGTTAGCCATGTCATCAATTAACCATGAATTAATGGCATGAACCACAACTAAATTATTTATATATGCGAGAAGAAAACGAAATTAAATAAATAAAAAGGAAGAAAATGAAAATGCAACATTTATTTGGCCAAAAAAAAATTAAAATTGAAGCAGTCAATATTGGCTTATTGTTTTATAATATATTTATCAATGCAATAGATAAACGTATAAATTAATCTGTTAATGAAAATTATTTAAATTATGAATTGATTATATCATTGATGTAGACCCCAAATCTTGCCCGGCCTCTAAATAAAGTCAGAAAGCTTCCTATTTTGAAGACGGCCGAAGCCTAACAAGCCACTAGGAGAGACTATTAGGCCTCCGTACCAAGATAGGAAGGTTTTTGCCCAAAAAATAAAGTTTCTCGCCTTGAAGGGACGAGACCGCCGTCTGGGAATACCAGATCGCCGTCTCGTTTCAGCGCCAGGACGAGACCGCGGTCCCGTTTTTCCAGACGGCGGTCTCGTCACCCGCAAAAACGAGACGGCGGTCCCGTTTTTCCAGACGGCGGTCTCGTTTTCCGCTTATTCGAGACGGCGGTCCCGTTTTCCCAGACGGCGGTCCCGACTTGCCGACTCGAACGAGACGGCGGTCTCGTTTCTCGAGACGGCGGTCTGGACCCTGACAGCGCGAAAAACTATAAATAGGGGCTCTCTCCCCCTCATTTCCACACACCCCAAGCAAGAGCTCTCCCTTCTCTCTAGATTTTCTCTCTCTAAGAATCCCTCCGAGGCATTTCCGGAGCTTCTGAGTGTCTTTAGGCATATACAGAGTGTCCTAAATCTTCTTTAGAATCCCTCCGAGGCATTACCGGAGTTTCTGAGAGTTGTAGAGTGAAGGGTTGCCAAAACGCACCCTCTTTTCTGAATATAAAGCTTGCTTTGGAGGTGCATATCCTCATTCTCTTTTATTCAAAATTACTGCTATTTAAATTATGCAATAGAAGCTAGGGCAATGTAGTCACATATTTAAATTCCGCATAATAAAAAGGGCAAAAGTGTATTTTTCTAGTTTATCAATAAAAATAAGCCGGCCTATCATAGGGAACCCGAAAGGGGCGTCGTAAAGGGACTAATACTCCCTTTACACGTAACCAACTCCCTTACCCAACTCTGGTTCTAATGACCAAAGTTGGTTTTCGAAAACCAACGCCTTTTTACCCCTTTTCCGATGTTTATGGTAAAAATATCGGTGGCGACTCCATAGAACCCAAAATAAATAAGTCCTTGAGTTAGCCCGGTTGTCGGACAACTCAAGGACACTTTTCAAAAACCTCGTCTCCAGATTAGCCCGGTTATCGGACAGCCTGAAGACGTTGTAACCACCAATAAAAAACGCGAAAACAAGAGGGTCGATAAACCATCGCGTCGCTCCGACCGCCTCGTTCTGACGGCGGCGACAGATGGCGACTCCACTGGGGAAGCCTAGAAAGTTAATCCCATTTAGTGATGGGCCGGCTTAAACAATAAATAAACCAAGAAAATAACACTTTTGCCCTTAACTTATATTTATAACATGTTTTATTGTTTGGCTTTCAATAAACTGTTGTTTGTTTATACTTACGCAATTGATTGAGATATAAATTGCACACAAACCTTTGCACACTACAGTTCCCTCTATACCCGGGGGCAAGTGAGATAACCATAGGGAGTGGGTGGCAGGTACGGTTCGCTGCAGTTAGGGCCTTGTGCCCACCAGTGTGATCGGAAACCACCACTCAAGGTGATAACCTTCCTCTTTTGGCAACAAGACCGACTCTGGCCTTAGTGTTGAGCATGGTCGGACGGCTGGAGAGTGGGGACCCTATAATGGGGGCACCTTGGGGGCCTTAGCCTGGTGAGAACAGCTAGAACCTACCCTAAACCAACGCACTTTTCTGCAGGAGAACCCTACCTCGTGATAAAAACGGAATCTCGCCGGTTCGGGGATGATTGAATTGTGTGTGCATATGTTTGTTGCATTTATATGTTGCATAGCATAAACAAACAACAGAACAAAATCACAAAAATATTTTGCAAATAAACACCCTTATCTCGGACAGTCTGCCTTTTAGCTAGCCTGGTTTCAGGTTCTTTGCAAGCTAAGTAGCCACGCAGTTCCGACAAAAGAGATAAGGGACGGTAAATATTCTTTCATAAAGCCATATTTTTATCTCGGATAGTCTGCCTTTTAGCTAGCCTGGTTTCAGGTTCTTTGTAAGCTAAGTAGCCACGCAGTTCCGACAGAA